TTTCTCGAAAATTCTATAACTTTCTTCATTACAACAATAGCAATGCAAAAAATAATATTGAGATAAAAACTATCCTATTTATTTATTACAATAATTGTAATGCAAAAAATAATATTAAGATAAAAACCATAGGTTAGGTTAGTTATATAATTCTCGGAACAATTCATATTTACACGCCGCCGACGATAAAACACAAACAATAGAAAAAAAGGTCAGATTACAGGTAGCTATATAGATACTGTTGCGGTCGGTCACGGGAAAACCCGAAATACACCATGCAATTATACACATTTATTAAAAAGTTAATTAAAATATTTAAAATATTAAAAAAATTGAAAAAAAACTATCCTATATTTTAAGTTGGACCAAATTACACACGGTGTAAAAAATTTCATCAAAATCGGTTCAGTAGTTTCGGAGATTATCGCGAACATACATCGTGACACGAAATTTTTATATATACAGATACATATATAAATCTAATGCTGTTTGTAAGTCTCGCTAAAACTCGAGAACGGCTGGACCAATTTAGCTCATTTTGGTTTTAAAGACTACATATATATTGCACAATATTTATGATGATTTTTATCATCATAGTTTTATTTCTCTTTGTAATCTTATTTCCGCAATCATTTATTACACACAATTCACAAAAAATAGTCCTTTGCATTCGTATGAAAAATTTATCTAAACTATTATTTTACTATTATTATTTTATCTTAACTATTTAACGATTGTTATATATCCGTTTGAACCAACGACTGCTTCGATAAGAAGAATACATTCATCTCCGCGATGCCATAAATACCGATGGCAATGTGAATAATATGGGAAGAATGACAATTTTGCCGGCAACTTACATAGGAAGCTCGCGCCACATGCACGAATATGCTCAGGATGCTATGTCATATGCTAGGCATTATGGCCGCCCAGACTTATTTGTTACATTCACATGTAACCCACAATGGTCCGAAATCAAGAGGGAATCGCTACATAGTTAAACACCAGTTGATAGACATGTCGTCAGTGCCAGAGTTTTTAAACAAAAATTAAAATCTATCAAAAAATTTCTTAATAAAGCATCGCGTGTATGGCCAAGTCATACACATGTATCCGGCAGGTATAAAATTAAAAATCTATACTATTTGATTAATAAATGATAGAAATGCGAAGATTCTAATATAATTAACTCAACCAAAATAATAATGATAACTGAAAAATATCTTAGAACTCAATAAATTTGACATTAATCATTCAATATCAATAATATTCTTCAGTACATATTCCATTGACTTAACTATTGTTTTTAAAATCCAAATAAGTTAAAATCTGTTTTTTTTTTTTTAAATAAACATTTCTTTAGTACTCGGGATATCAAAGATTTGATTAATACTGTAAGACATTAGTAGAATCAAATATTTGTACATAGTATGATCAATGAATTAAATTTAATAAACGATTAAAATTTAACATCACTGATTAAAAACTAACTAAACAGGGTTTTATTTTATAGAAGACAAAATTTCTCAGTATATATTTTTCGAAAAATTACTATTGGTATGAAATCAATTATTTATTTATTAATTTATCTGCTGGAAAACGAAACGGGAATTGGGAATTTATTTACACATTTACAAATTTATTTACTTTGGAAGTTGGCATTAACTTTTTTTTTATTCTTATCATGTTCGCTGTTATCAATTGTTATCAAAAATCGGGAGAACTCATCGAGATAAAGAATATACTGGAGACACAGATATCTATATTATACTAGATAACGAATTACCGATGTTTTCCATTGAGAGAAGTGAAGCCCAGGGACGCAAGATTATCATACGTCCGCCATGTTTTCGGTTGGCAAAACAATATTACTTTACATTATATAAAATAGTTGAACACACTAAATTATTAAATTAAACATTTTTCATTACGTTTAATCAAAATTAAATTTCATTACAGAATTGAGAATATTAATTTAAAATTGCACTATTGATTATATTATACTCGTAATCAATGAGTATACAATAAATAAAATGACTTATTTAAATACACAAAACCAAATCATTATACTTACTATATTTAGTTTTAACTATTATATATATATTAATTAAAATATATAAAATAAATTTTTATGTACTGATATACTGTAGTAGGGTTTGTTTTCCAAGTTTGGATACTAACCTTAGCACAATTGATTGAAAAGCCTGAATTGGCATGATGTTCGAGGGATTTGCTGGACTCAAGATTGCTATTCCATAAAACCAGACTGGTCTTATGATTGACTTATATATAATAAGTTTGTTTTGGAGTGTTATTTTGGAGTTTAGGAGTGGTCGGAGGAGGTGGAGTCTGTTGTTCGATGATTTTCTTTTTTCTTTTTGGTGGGGGCCCCAAGTTAGTTTTTTATCAAGCATTATGCTTAAGTACTTGATTTTGATTTGGACAGGAATGGGGGCGTTGTTCATAATTAATTGAGGCCACTCACATCGAGATTGTTTTAACGTGAAAGTAACTTGTACAGACTTTTCCGTATTAATTTTTATTTTCCATTTTTTGGCCCATTCTTCAATTTCATTAGCATGATCCTGGAGTTCAGCTAAAGTTAAGACAGGATTTGGACTGGAGGAAAGAATAGCTATGTCATCAGCGTATGTTGCTAGAAGGGTGTTACTAGATTGAGGGATGTCTGCTGTGAATACATTATATAGATCAGGGGATAGATCACTACCTTGAGGAACTCTAGCATATATTGGGTGGGTAGATGAAATATCGTTCCCCTGTCGTACGACAAACGAACGATTTTGTAGGTAAGATTTGATAATAAGATAGTAGGGAGCTGGCATGAAAAGTTTTAATTTGTATAGTAAGCCATCGTGCCAGACTTTATCGAATGCTTGAGCAATATCTAAAAAAAGTCCGGAACAGTATTCTTTATTATCGAGAGCAGTTGAGATTTCATCAGTAAGACGATGAACTTGATGGATTGTTGAGTGCCTGTTTCGAAAACCAAACTGATTATTCGATATGATATGGTTGTTTTGAAGGATGGGACGTAATCTTTTCAGAAGGGCCTTTTCGAAAAGTTTACCAAGGACTGGAAGTAAACTTATGGGACGGTATGACGAAGATAAGTGTTTAGGTTTATTTGGTTTGTGTACAAGTATAATGACTGCAAATTTCCAAATTTTAGAGAAGTGGAAAAATCTTAGAATAAAATAATTTTAATATAATAAAATATATTTATATAATTATTATATATGTAGGTGAGCAATGATAAAGTTTTGAGAGACAGATTTTTCAGAATTTTGTTTGTAATGAGGTCATTTCCAGATGCCTTGCCGGGAAGTAATTTTTTAGTTATATATATATATTTCACCGGGTAAGATGGGTTTTGCAGGTAGCGACATAGGTAGCGAAGCTGATAGAGATTGTTGAATTTCAATAATTGTGTCGTTTTCGGAATCGGTGCACGAATGAGGCTGGAATGTTTCAGCTAATTGAGAATATACAGATACAGAGAATGTACAGAATATACGTTGCAATTAAAAATGTAAATGTTGAGGTGTTTTTAAATCATATTATCTATACTTCATATGTACCGAAAAAAGTGAATTGAGGAATTACTTTTAAAGCGATTTGAACAACCATATGCAACACAAGAAACAGGCATATTTAATAAATATTAGTTACTAAATAGTGTATAATTAATATTGTGGTGTGTGGGGAATAGTGTTGATACAATATTTTGCCAACCCAAAACATGGCGGACAAATGATAACATAATCAATGCGTGCTTCAAGTGATATCGGAAGTTCGTCATCTAGTATAATATAGATATCTGTGATATATTATAAGTCTATGGTATGTACGGTCCTATACGGTAATTCGATAAAATATATACGGACGAAGGAATTTTGGCTCTTGGCAACACTGTGTATGGAGTCCGTGGGACTAGTCTCAGTAGTTTCTGCCACCGGGCGATGCGGTTTTTACTTGTAATCTTGCCTCATTCTTGTTAAAAATCCAAAATATGAAATCAAAACATTATACATTAGATGAATTATTGGACCGAAAATATACCCGTAAATTCCAGTTTGTTATTTTATCAGTTTTAATTGTATCTATAAAATTAATATTAATTAATTGAAGTTAGAATTTAATTTATAATATATATGTCATATAAGAATATAAGAAACGATGCAATATTATCAACATTTTTTCAGTAGTTTAAAATATTTACTTACAATAAAGTTGAATAATTATCTAACAAAAATAAAATTAACAATAATCGGAGTTATTTAGCTAAATTAATCAATTATTATGGCATATATACATATATTAAATAAAATACCAATATTTCAATTAAAAAAGTATATAAATAGCCAGTAGTTGAACAAAAGTTAAAAGTCTCCCTGTACATTTTATTCATGTACCGCTACTGGAGTGGCGTCCTCTTAATTGTAGATCCTAGTTGGCTGTGACATAGTAATTTAAATATGTTTCATTAAATAATATCAAAATTATCAATCCAAAGTTATATACTCTTAATTTCTAGAACTAATACTTAAAAATTCAATTATTAGTCATGATTTTAAATGTTTTCTACTCGTATACATTATTAACTTTACAGCAGCTATTAATATATATTTTAAACACATTACCTTCTAAGTTCTTAATGAATTTAAATCCTTTATTTTTTAATTCGTAAACCAATTTATATCATTAAGTTAATTAAATAAAGTGAGGGCTAAAGAATATAAAATAAAAATTAAACAAAAAAGAATAAATTTATACTAATGAAAAAATAAAATATGCTCAATATTAGAAAAGTCAAGCCAATTAAAATTTACATAAATGTAAAGTAACTACTTTAGTTAAGAAAAACAATAATATATTTTAATTTTCTTTTTAATTTTATGTTCAACTTGCAAACAATTTATTTCTTAGAATATATAATTCAATCAATGACAATAAATGTAGACAGAAATTTTTTGTTTAAAAAATAAAATTTGTTCCACATATTTATGTAAAATATTTTCTTAATTGCTATGAAGTTACCAGTACTGTGTATAGATTTTAGTAAAATTCATAAAATTAACATCATATTTTACATTTATATTTCAACATAATTAATATGCATAGGAACACATCATTCATCTTTTAAACTTTAAAAAAGTATTATATTTCAACTAACTGGCACATGCGTTGAGCATTATTGAGCAAGCTATTATTGACTGGATTCATTTTTGAACAACTCCTTGAAGAAAATGTTGTAATTTTTCATGATCTCTTTTTAACCATGCAGCATTTAACCTAATAGTCTCGCAAGCTTGTTGGATTGTTCTTTCAGCACCTACACAACCATTTTGTTTAAAGAAATTTTCAACTTCTTCAGCTTTTTCAATAGAAGAAAAGTTTTCTGTTGTGTTCTTCACCAAGCGAGTTAATAAAAACCCACCCTAAATGAATTTCATAAATTAAATATAATTGATTTGAGTCTTGTAAAAGTTATTTCTTTACTTGGTACTGATTAAATAATTTTGACCAGTTATCTTGAATGAATTGCCATGCTAAATCTCTTCCAACTTTGGAAGCTCCAACTGAAATTATGACAAAAACAGTATCTTGGGAGCGAACTTCATCCTATAAAAAAAAAAAAAAATTAAAAAATAAAAATAAAATTAATTATAATGTTTGACCGTGGATGAATTAAATAACCTACAGACACTGCGAAATCAAGAACTTTTTTTAATATATTTTTATTTCTAGATGCACCCATTGCTCTGCATATTCTATCTTTTTCTTCGTGTAAGTCTGTTCCTCTATAGAGCTAAAATAAGTATAATTTATAAATAATTATTTGTGAAGTTTATTATAATTATATTAACCTGTAGTAATTGATTAAAAGTTGTCTCATCACCAGATGACAAACATGCCTTATATATAGGACTTCTTAAATCAGCCACAATGGTTTCTTTACCACTTAGGTGATTAGCAAACTTCATTTTAGCTTCAGAAACGATATCAGGATCAGCACTTGATACCAAACGACCTATTACTAAGCCTCTCAACATTCTATCAAGATGACTTTCATTGGGTTGAGGAGTCCATCCCAATTTAGTAAAAATTTTTTTTAATAGAATTTGATTATATTGTTTAAATAATAGTTCTGTTTCTCCTTCTACATTAGACAATAATATGGCTAATTTACCAAGAACATTACTCATTGAAGTCCATACAGAATAATTATCTTCATCAGTCATGGCCAACATTAAACGTAGTACTTCATCTGTACTGGAAAGTCCAGCTTGTACTAGAGCAAAAAGATCATCAAGTAATCCAAGACGGTCCAAAGGTGGTAATGTTTTTGATGATATTGATGGTACAAATTTTTCTAGCAATTCGGATGTATAACGTGTTCTGTAGTATCCAACAGTACTTGGGTTTACTTTAACCCATTCACTAGATGACAACGCACTGGAAGGAATAATAATATCTTTTTGACTTTCAGACAAAATATCTTTATGACACACAATGTTGGGAGAGCTTGATGAAGAAAATGTTAATGGAACCATCCATAAAGGTCCATCACCTAAAGAAAAAAATTTTTTAATTCAAGTTAAAAAAAAAAAGGTTAATAAAACTTACCATGAACTTGACCATTGGCAGTAAATTTGGTTTGAGATATACTAAGTGTTCTTGATCCATCAGTATTTAAAGTTTCTTTTTCTACTGAGATCACAGGAAATCCTTTTTGTAAAGTCCAAGTAGACATGACTGCTTTAACAGGTTTATTACTTGCTTCTTCTAAAGCTAACCATAAATCTTCAGTAAAAGTGTTATTGTATTGATGTTTATTCAAATACAGATTCATTCCTTTACGAAAATCCTAAAAATGAAAAACGTTAATTTATATGGTACTTACAATATATTAATTGATTCATAATAACTTACGTGATCTCCAATAAAATTATGTAACATTCTGATGACTGAAGCACCCTTGTTATATGATATGTCATCAAATATTTCATCAATTTCAGATGGATGACCAACTGGTATCTCAATTGGATGACTGCTATTCAATGCATCTAATTCAAGAGCTCTAATATGTGTGTCAGTAACAAATTGTGTCCAAATATCATACTCTGGGAATAAATGTTCAACACACAGAAACTCCACAAATGAAGCATAACCTTCATTTAACCAAAGATGAGTCCACCACTCCATAGTAACTAAATTACCAAACCACTGGTGAGCTAACTCATGCCCTACAACTAATGCTATCCATTGCTTGCGAACTGCAGAAGTATTTGCTGGATCAACTAAGAGACATGATTCTCTATATGTTACCAAACCCCAATTTTCCATGGCACCTAAAATTTTTTTAATAAAAAATTATTTAATAACTTTTAACTAAAAAATTACTTACCAGAAGAAAAATCTGCAATTGCTATCAAATCCATTTTAGGTAATGGATAAGCTACTTGGAAATAGTCTTTGTAGTAAGGCAATGCATTTTTAGCAACTTCCAATGCAAACTTTCCCTGGTCACTTTTTCCAACTGGTGTGTACACTCTAACTAAAACACCATCAGAATCTTTGTCTTCCACATAATCAAATTCTCCAACAACAACAGCCACTAAATATGTAGACATGATTGGAGTTCTTTGAAATTTAAGTAAACGGTCACCATTTTCTTCAATTGTATCAGATATTACAGGCTATAAAAAAATATACATATTTATAAAAAAATCATATTATAATTTATAAATTATAATTAGTTTAAATGTACCATGTTGGAAAGAGCCGTTTTGTCCTGTGCCACAGATAACAAAATATCAAATTCAGCCTTTATCGCCGGCTCATCCCAACAAGGAAAACACCTCCTAGCATCAGTTGCTTCAAATTGGGTAACAGCTGAATATTTTTCTTTTCCATTTGGACTTTAACAAAAATATATAAAATACAAAATTAATTAATTATTCTTACCATATTAGATAAGGCTTGATGGGACATGTTACATATGCCAACAGATATATTAAAAACAGCTTTTAGAGAAGGTTCATCCCAACATGGAAACATTTTACGTGCGTGTGTGGTACACGACATAGTGACTGCAGCATATTTTTCAATCTGATGACCGGTTTCAGATATTCTATGCAACTTTTTTTCAGAAAAGAAAAAGAAAATTCTAAGTCATACTGCTAAAATGTTTAGATATCTTACCTGACATATTTACTCCGGTAAAATCCTTTCATTTTATCATTGAGTTCACCAATAAATATAAATTTTAAGAATGCTTCTCCTAATTTAAGTTCTTTGTCAAATTCTAAAGTAACTGTTTCATCTTCAGCTGATAGTGTAACTGAAGGTTTGAAAATGGATCCATCACATTCTTTTAATTCAACTTCTTTGATTTTCAAATCCAATGCATGTAATGTTATTGAATTAGTTGGCTCCAAAATCTACATATATTTAAAGTTGTTAGTTTAAGTTTATGCATAGAATATAACAGATTTATTAAAATAAAGATCAGTTAGTTCATGATTTTTTATTGTTAATTTAATAATAACATTATTTTTTACTTAATACACCATATGTAAAAATATATTTTAACATGAAAACACCTTTATTTTTCCTATGATATTTGATTTAAAAAAATGGCCTAAGTCATAAATAAATAAATGTAGCCATACATTTTAATTTTTTTTTGAAAAAAATAAAATGTGCATATAAATGATATAAATAAAGAAGACGATTTTGTAATTCAATTCAAAAATAATTATTGTCACATTTGAAAAATATGTAAAGCCGGGTACCTACACACCTGAGCATTTAATTGTAATGTAATGAAGTTCGTGCTCGTTTGAATGTTTACATGTTACCAACGACCGGCGTGTACGTTTAGGGTGGAGCACTACTCTGTATCAGCCATTCGTCATGTTCGTCAAAATACCAACATTCAGGTGGATTGATGGCGTCGCGAGCCGAACATTAACATCGTACACACCTAAGCATTAAAATTAAATTACGGCGTTACATTACACCTAAATGCTCCGGTGTGCACCCGGCTTAAAATTATGGTCTTTGAAAGTCATGTTGTTACAAATTAAAAGAAGGTAATTTTTTTAAGAAATTATATCAGAAATATAATATCCTTAATATCATAAATTAAGATAAATAAGAGACCTTTTTAAATTGATTATTAAATAATTCTATGACGCATAAATAATAATTGTTTAAATCTAATAACTAAATTATTTATTTAAAATAAATCGTAAAATAAGTTTTACTATATTGTTAAAAAATTAAAAATACCTATGTATAGGTTGATAATCATATATATAATACTCGAAAATGTACGAGTAGACACAGGTGTACATTTTGGATGAGTCTGCTTATAACTGTTCATAGGGTACAGTTATCCGTGTATAAAAGAGTGAACTGCGCATGCACGGAGAGTTACTTTGGTACAGTTATGTTATTGTATAAACATATTGGACACCTGCGCGATCAATGTGTATAATTTTTTCTTCTGAGATATAATATATCTCATTATTTTAAAATACTATTTAAATTGTAAGGTATATTATGTTATAATAATATAATCACGTAACTCTTTTATCAAACCAGTATCCTTGACCTCGATAGTAAAAGAAAGAAGTTGTATAACAACAAGATAATGAAGTGAAATAATTATAATTAATGGTTGTTTATGAATTGTAACTATTATTGTACTAAAAAATTTCAGTGCTTTTTAAAAACCAATATATTTTTTCAACGTTTAGTAGTAAATTTAACAATAATTTAATAATAAAATAATAAAATATTATTAATAATCGAATAAGTTATTTAAAATGAATTATCTAAATAATTAATAACCTATTTAAAATAGTTTGTACACCTTTTTTATTAATCGTATTTAATGACATAATAATGCGTTCTGAAATCATTAAATATATAACTACCTCAATAAAATAAGAAAAATTAAATTTATTTCAAACCCAAATAAAAAATAATGGTGTAATTAATCATGGTAGCAACTTATTCACTCGTATCAACTTTCATTGAAAACATTACAATTTAATTATCATACTAGGTATACATGAGGGTCGGGTTTTGTATTAATTTAAATATTATTAACTTACTTTATAATTTTAGAAAGAAAATTAATTATTAAAAAAAAAAAAAACAACATTAACGTCATATGGAAATTTTTTTTTATAGTTTTCTAATGTTATAAGTGAAAGTATTTTTATTTCCCGCCAAATGTTATGTTCCGTTTTCCTCCAAATCAAAATAAAATTTGTTTCTAATATTTTTGAGAACCATTTGCCATTGACATGACGGCTTGAACCGGTTATCGAACTCGTAACCACGAACATGAACGAAAGTTGTCACTATTTCATTTGCGACACGACACGCCAACGAAAATTGTATTTCATTTATTATTATTCAATGGTGTTAGTGCATTTTTTTTTGTATAATGTTGGAAAATATTGATGTTATCACAAGTGACCGATGTTAATTTACAACAATTTTATATTCAATTTTGTATATACATCGAAAATTGACATTATGAGGTGGACAAAGGCACCCATATGGGGGGCAAGGGAAGGACATGCCCCCCCTGAAAAATATCAAAAATCTTGGAAAATTGTTTACTATGATCAGAAAATATTTATTTAAATATAATTTAAAAATTAAATTTAATGTATGAAAATTTATAATTTGTTTATGAAAAATCTATTTAGTTTGGAAAATCAGGTTATCAGTTATAAATAACAATACGCTTTTTCGTTTCTATTCTATGGATAATTATTAATTCTTAAAATATTGTGTATTTCCAGAAATACGATATGTATATGAGTGTGTGTACACAACCATAATATTTATATAATATTTGTAAATTAATATTTTAATAAATATAACTAATGTTTTAAGTGTCCAATTTATATTATTAATTAAATAAAAATTTCAATAAGTTACTTTTATGGTAAATTGGTTAAATAATTATTATTTTATAGTCTTCTAGTTTGATATTATAGCAGAGGTTCTCAAACATTTCAGACCAGGCTTCCCCTTTTGGTCAACCATAGACGTGAGCCCCCCCCCATAAAAATAATTTTAATAATCATGTTTAGACTAACAAAAAGTTAAAACAAACAACAAATATAAGCTAATATTGATATTCACATTACAAATTTATTTTAAAATAATATGTATTATTTATAAAAGGTTTTAATAAATCGGTAAAGTTTAATGTGATGGATGGGTTTGTTTTTTTCATCACAAAGTTTGGTTAAATTAGGGGAGATATTTGATAAAGCAACTCTCAATTCTTTGCTGACATCTAGTCTTCCACAGCATTGGCGGTTAAGGACTCACAAAAAGTATTTCTTCTCTTATATCCTTATCATCAATAAATCTAACATAAGCCAATAAATAAGATTGCCTATGTTTATTAGTCGCTTCATCAATTTGAAGGGCAAAAATGTTATTTTTTAGTTTTTCAAATAATTGTTCATTGAGATCTTCCAAAATATTTGATATTCGCCGTGACACAGTATCATTGGAAAGAGGTATGGATTTTAGCTGTTGAGCCAAACTGTCTTCAAACATTATAGAAACAATATCAACCAACTGCTGGTAATATAAGAGTTTCACCTACTGTGTGAGGTTTTTTGCATTTGGCAATTCTATGAGCAACTTTATAAGATGCTAAAAGAGCTTTGGAAGGCACAGTTATAATGTTTTTAAATGTTTGTTGAGTAGATTGAAAGTCAATAAGCTTCCGAGCAAAAAATTCCTTAGGTTTATTAACTAGTTCAGCATGTTTTGTTTCTAAATGCCTCCTTAATTTATTAGGTTTCATGCTATCAGATGCTAATATAGATAAACATACTACACACTGAGGCCGTTCTTCACCATTTATAGAAGTTTTAGTAAATCCGAGAGATAAATAGTTTTCATCATACCTTCTTAATTTTGTAGATTTTGAGTTCGACACTGGGCTTGAAGTACCAGTGGCTGACTCGATGTTTACAATACTGACGTTATTCCTCTTAATTTTATTACTGCTGCTTTATGTTGAAGCACTAGTTTGATCATTTATCAAAAATCTTTTCATTCTTAAACGTATGAATAACAAGTAAGTCTAATACCAGAATATTCGAAATAAACAAAACTTATTTACAAAGACGTACTCACACGCACAAGGTAGCATACACGATACCAAACTGTCAACGTTATACCACCGCAGCCTTGTTACATAGTACAACGCGTAGAACTGAGTATGTTTAAAAATAGAATGACGGTCAATAGTGGTTTATCGATAAAACAACTAACTTTTTATAGATAAAGGCTCTTGTTGATTGTTGCTGTCTGTATGTGATGTATAAATATACATATTGTATGTACAATATGTACATATTATGAATTTTTTTTATTTAAATAGCACTTTAATTTTACTAATTTATTATCAATCTCATATCTTATCATTGAAAATCCGAAAAGCGTTCTAACAGAGCTCAGAGTCAGTGATCAATCCACATGAACGCATGCGCAGTAAATCACGGAGTAGTCGACAACTAATCCCAAATTCCGTGTTGGAACAAACTTAATGTAATAGTATAATGTAAAATTGTAAACCCCTTTCTATATCGTGGGTCATTCCTATTTATGAATAGATTGATAAATTAAAATGTTGCCCCCCCCCCTTGAAAATTTGCCTATGACGCCTTTGGAGATGGAGGTATTATGAAAAAAAAAGTAAAAAGTAAAAAGTAAAATATTTACCAATAATAATTATGAGTTTCTCAAATTAGATGGGAATCAAATAATAGACCATAGTGTTGTCGATAGAAGTTTCATAGATAGACATTGTTAAATTTCCTCCTTTAAGCGTGAAGCAGTAGAAGACCTCAGTATAAGTAAAAAAAAAATGATTATCCAAGAAATTCGACAAATATTTCCGTTAAAGACATGGATCATGTTCGGAAAAATGTCTATGAGAGTCGACGCAAAATTCTTCCTGCTCATACAACTTTTTACAATATGTCTACGACTCATGGCGAGGAATGAACATTTTGACAAAATAAGGTGAACTATTTCTATTATTAAATGAGGACTCAAAAAATGTATTGATTTTTTCATGTGCAAATAATTAAAATTTTTTATATAGCGTCAAAACTATTTATATGGATGGCACTTTTCAGTTCAGTGCTAGGTTTTTTATTCATGGATATAAAAATGGGTTTTACATACCACTTGTATTTTGTTTATTGCTCGATAAGAAAACAATGACTTACATCTACGTACTAAATAAAATATCGGAGTTTTGTGATAACACGGGGTCGTCTTTTTTTACTACTTAATATTATTAGTGATTTTGAAAATACTTTACTCAATGCAATTGAACAAATTTGGCCAGGGATGAATGTTGTCGATTTCACTTGACTCAAGC